TTCCTGTCCGCGTTCTACCACTCACCAGCACAAGGTCATTTAGCCCTTTTGGGCCTTACTTTCCTTCCTTGAAAAATAAGGGTTCAAAATGGAATTAATGTAAATACTTTTGTTTTTTAGGTTGATTTTTTAAATTAAAATATAGTTGATTTACAAAATTATATTAGTTTCAGGTGTACAACATAGTGATTCAACATTTATATAATAGATTATACTCCATTTAAAAGTATTATAAAATATTGGCTACATTCCTCGTGCTCTACAGTATATTCCTGTATCTTATTTATTTTATATACAGTGGTTTGTACCTCTTAATCCCCTGCCTCTGTGTTGCCCCTCCCCCATTCCTCTTCCCACTGGTAAGCACTAGTTTGTTCTCTATATCTATGAGTCTGTTTCTGTTTTGTTATATTCATTCATTTTACTTTCTGGATTCCACATATAAGTGATAACATACAGTACCTGTCTTTCTCTGTCTGACTTATTTCACTAAGCATAATACACTCCAGGTCCATTCATGTTGCTGCAAATGGCAACATTTCATTCTTTTTATGGACAAGTAAAACACTGTGTGTGTGTGTATACACATACACATCACATCTTCTTTATCCATTCATCTGCTGAAGGACACTTAGGTTGCTTCCATTACCTTGGCTATTGTAAACAGTGCTGCTATGAACACTGGGATGCATATCTCTTTTCTAATTAGTGTTTTCACTTTCTTTGGTTATATACCCAGGAGTGTAATTGCTGGATCATATGGTAGATACTTTTAGCTCTAAGATCTTATAATTCTTTTTCTTTCTTTAAAACCTTTTTTTAATAGTGGAAATTTTGAAACATACACAAAAGTCCAGAGAATAGTATAATAGACCCCCATGTACCCATGGTCCAGCTTCAAAAATTATTTTCCTTTTTCTTTCCAGCTTTACTGAAGTATGACTGCCAAAGAAAATCTGTATATATTTAGGTTGTACAACATGATTGTTTTTAAAGGTGTAAAAGGTGATGACTTAATATACATATACACTGTGAAATGACTACCACAGTCAGGTTGAGTAACACATTCATCACCTCACATACTGAGTGTAAGTGCCTGACATTAAGCTTTTGATTGATGAGACATCCACTTTGAATAAACATATTGCCAGCTGTAATGACCCAGCTACTAGCAAAACCACCAGATAAGGAACTAGGCCACCCCACCCATGAAGGCTTTCCCTTTCAGAAAGCTTTGGGTAACCTAGATAACTGCTCAAGTGACCTTTCTCCAAGACTCGTTAACTTCTGTCTTTTTTGAGAATAGCCATCCTAGCAGGTGTGAGGTGATAATATCATCGTGGTCTTGATTTGCATTTCCTTCATGACTGATGACGTTGAGCATTTTCCATATACCAGTTGGCTATCTGTATGTCTTCTCTGGAAAAATTTGCCCATTTTAAAAATCAGGCTATTAAGTGTTTTTGCTATTGAGTTGTATTAGTTCCTTATATATTTTGGAAATTCTCCTTATCAGATATATAGTTTGCAAATATTTTCTCCCATTTTATAGGCTGCCTTTTCATTTGGTTGCCTGTTTCCTTTGCTGTACAGACGCTTTTTAGTTTGATACAGTCCCAACTTTATTTTTGCCTTTGTTACTTGTGCTTTTGGTGTCATATCCAAAAACATCATTGCCAAGACCAATGTCAAGGAGTTTTTCTCCTATGTTTTCTTCTAGGAGTTTAATGGTTTCAGGTCTTAAATTTAAGTATTTAATCCATTTTGAGTTAATTTTTGTGTATGGTGTAAGATAAGGGTTCAATTTCATTCTTTTGCGTGTGGATATCCAGTTTTCCCAATACCATTTATTGAAGATACTATCCATTCCGCATCGTGTATTCTTGGTGCCCTTGTCAAAGATTAGCTGACCCTATATTTGTGGGTTTATTTCTGGGCTCTCTATTCTGATCCACTGGTCTGTTTTTATGCCACTACCATACAGTTGTGATCAGGAAGTGAAATCAGGAAGTGTGATAACTTCACCTTTGAACCTTAACTTCAATCTTCTTCCTCAAGATTATTTTGGCTATTTGATATCTTTTGTGGCTCCATACAAATTTTAGGACTTTTTTTCTATTTCTGTGAAAAATTGCAGCTGTAATTTTTGTAGGAATTTATATAGGGATTGCACTTAATCTGTAAATTTATAATTCTAAATAGAAGATAATTAGGGAAATAAAAAAGATAAAGTAGGTGAAAGTGGTAGTAGAAGAAATCTGAGCAACTAAAGAGCTGAAACAAAGTCTGGATGATCCTGCTTATCAAGGGCCTGATCACTGAGAGTGGAAACTGTTTTAACAGAGAGGAGGAGATTAGCCAAGACATTACATGTGATGCCTTAAAAAGAAAGACACAGGAAGTCTGGGTGGTGAGATAACCTAATAATAAACAATGTAAGTGCAACAGATTTGCTTTAAGCACAGAGGTATTTTTCCGTTAAGTGCTAGCAAAGAGGCAGGTTCACAGCAGGTACTCAAAAAAGATTAAATTGAGTAAATGGAATTAGGAAAAAAGAAAGCTTAAATTCCATTCTCAAGAGTTGGCATCTGATGTTAAAGTCAATCTAAAATTAACAAAGGATTCTGGAACCAGAACTAACATTTCAGGAAGCTGATCTATACCATGATATGTGAGAATTAAGAGATCAAGAGCCAGGGAGTTGTGATGTTCACAGTGAGATGACACATGAATAGTTTGAGCTATGGCTTCAGGAGGGAAAAGAAAAGAGAACTAAATCCCATGCTAACTGTGGAACCAAAGAGTATCTATCTACTCTGTATGGACAGGGTGATTTCATTTCTTAAATTCTGTAATAACTACATTGTGTCCTGACCATATGTATCAGTTAACAGCCAAAAATAGGACATGGATAAAAATAGGAATCACCTCTTAATTGTCACCCACTTCAAATAAAAAAATTATTACAATTTAGCTTGCCTGCAGATGTTCATGAATGTGGAAGGAGCTGCCACTTAGAACAGAAACTTTTCCTTTGCTACTCAACAGGATCGAGGCTTCAAAGGGCCTGCTTCTAACAACTGTAAGGTAATACTTCTGAGGATGGACCAAAGGGAAGCTAATAAAACTTGAACAAATATTTAGCAAAAATGTTTTAAGAGATAATTTGTATGTTCTACTATTGCTCAGGTACAATGTCATATGTATATGCTGACCTATACCTGTGATCAGATTTAAAATGTTAATACATAACATTCCCATTCATGATTATATGGACTGAATATTTGTGTCCCCTAAAATTCTTACGTTGAACAACCCCCCTGCCCCCACTGTGATGGTATTTGGAGATGGGGACTTTGGGAGGTAATTAGGGTTAGAGGAGGTCATGAGGGTGGGGTCCTCATGAAGGGATTAGTGCCCTTATAAGAAGAGACACCAGAGAGCTTGCTGGCTTGCACTCCTTCTCGCTCTATCATGCTCCCTCCCTCTCCCTCTCTCTCTCCCTCTCTCTCTCTGTCATGTGAGGACTGAAAGAGAAGGCAGCCACCTGAAAGCCAGGGAGAGGGTTCTCATCAGAACACAATTATGATAAAACTCTAATCTTGGACTTATAGTCGGCAGACTATGAGAAAATAAATTCCTGCTATTTAAGTTACCTAGTTTATGCGTTTTGTTATGGGAGTCTGAACTAATACAATGATAAAAAGTATAATGTAAATATTAAAATTATTAAAAACCTCCAGTATTTTTTTTTGTGTGTGTGGTACACGGGCCTCTCACTGTCGTGGCCTCTCCCGTGGCGGACACCAGGCTCTGGACACGCAGGCTCAGCGGCCATGGCTCACGGGCCTAGCCGCTCCGCGGCATGTGGGATCTTCCTGGACCAGGGCAGGAACTTGTGTCCCCTGTATCAGCAGGCGGACTCTCAACCACTGTGCCACCAGGAAAGCCCTCCAGTATTTTTTTATTAACAGATTTTATTTTTTAGAATGGTTTTAGAGTTGCAGAAATTTTGAACAGTTAGTCCAGAAAGTTCCCATATCACCTACATCTTTCTCCCTCCCTACCCACACATGGTTTTCCCTATCATTAGGTGCTCAATAAGTACAAGAAGATGCTCATACCATAGGAGAGGCATACCAGAACCAGGGGCAAACTAGGCAATGAAGCCATAGCCACCTCTCTCCCACCTCAGATTAACGAAGTGGAACCCGTAGGGAATGACCACACAGAAATTATGTTTTTCTTTTTTCCTCTCATCTCCCTTTTTTTTTTTTTAGAAGCGTGAACATGCTAGAATACTCATGAATTAGAAGCAGGTAATTTGCAACTCTGTGGTACTACTTCCTCCATTTAAAGGCTTCCAGAAATATACCATGTAAAGTCCTAGTTCTCCCTTCAGCTTTCAAGGTTCCTCCCAATCTGGCCCTGCCTAGCACTCAAGTACCTACTGAATCTCTCTTCCTGCTATGCTAATCCTTCTGCCTATTATACAGAAGGCACCTACCTCCACCCCTCAATTCCAAATTCTACTCAGCTGCTAAAACTCTTTTACTCTCTCCTTTGTTTACTCCTTAAGTATCCACATGATCAGCAGGCCAGAGTTTATCACTTAATCACTCTCTAAAGATGAGAATGAGAGCTTCTTTAGAGTAGGAACCGCGGCTAAGGACCGCGTCATGTTATACTACTTCACCGTTCCTCTTAACACAACCCTGGAACTATAGTACATGATCGATAAACATATAGTTGGTTACTAGTTGGTAAATACAGATGGCAAGTCCTAGACAAACTGTTTGATCTGTCCAAACTTTTAAAGAAAATTACCTGCAGAATGATTAAAATGACCCCCCAAATCCTAAAATTACCAGAATGTGGCATCATGGGCCCAATGCCACAAGTGGAGGTTTCCACTGGTATAACTCTTAACCTTAGCAGGCTTTCTAGAAATATGAACACCCACTCACTGTAAAGGAAAGCAGATGTTAACAAACACATACCATCCGAGGTTGTAAGAATCTTCTTGTCTTTGGGGGCCAAGGCATGCCCAGCATGACTGATAACCCAAACGGGAAAGCGTCTTTTTGTTGAAGAATACAAAGCCTTTGCAAAAGGCACATAAAAGGCAGAAAAACCTGGGTTACCTAAGAAAAGAAACAGACTTTTAGATTAACCAAAGCAAAAAACTCACATAAGACAATGTGCTGACTGAAAAAGAAAGATCTATTTCTCCTTATACTTCCCTAAATGTTACTATACAAACGTAGTAACATTTACCCATACAACTCAATTTTAATATCCTTTATACCTTAAGTCTGGGAATTATCATTTAGAAAATTTCTGCTCCTGCTTTGTTCTCCAACTGCTTCAAATAAATTCTTCCTCAATGTTCCTCATCGTAATAAGTGGAAGCACCAATCATAAATCAAATACTCAAGTCCTAACAGCAGGAGTCATTCTTGGTTCCTTCCTGTTCTTCACATCCAATTCATCAATAAGTCCTGTCAACTCTGCTTCCAAAATACATCTCAACTTTGTCCAATTCTCTCTATTAGTGTTATCACTTCCCACTGGGTTTCCCACAACAGCTTCCTAACAGGTCTTCTATCTACTCTTGTCCCCTGGGAATCCATTCTTCAGGGTACCCAGAGAGATATCTCCAAACCTCAAATTGAATCACAGCAGTACCCTACTTAAACACCTTCCAGTGGTTTCACATTGTCTAAAATCATTAATACTGCCTGTCAGCCCCTTCAAGATTTGACTATGATCAGTTACCAAGCTGCACAAAAACCAATCAGTGTCAGAATCATTCACAAAGAAAACTTTAAGGAATCTATTAACTGTTTTCTGGTCATGTATCACAAGTACTTATATTGTAGAGATGTATAGTTTGATCTTTGGGGGAAAAGACCACCAACTAATACATGTAGATTTTTCTTGGGTATGTACAGAAGGTATTTTTGAGGTGGGTTTGCTATAGAGACAGAATGAATAAGTGATCTTTTTTAAAAATAGTCAATCTGATACATCTTTGGGGGAAAAGAGTGAAATGGTGTTTTCATCTTACAATCATCATCTGTATAACACCTTCATAAATACTAGTCCACTTCATTCAGTATCTATTTCTCCAATCAATTTATCTATTTCTTCATGCTGCTAGGTTTTCTCCTCTTTGCAATTACATGACAGGGTTTTGCTGTACTGATGTAACCTCTGCCATCCTTGTCAAATTTTACTGATTTCTTCTTCATGGTCTATATCTTTTAGTTTCCTAGATAAGCAATGTAGCGAAGTGGTTAAGGGCATAGACTCTGGAGCCAGACTGCCTGGGATGGTTTTCTTACCTTGTCACTTACCAACTGTGTGACCTTTGGCAAGTTATTTAACCTCTCAGGCCTTGGTTTCCTTGTCCATAAAATGAGGATAATAATCATACTACCTCATGTGAGAACTAAGTGAACTAATATATGTAAAATACTTAAACACTGCTCAATACACTGCTTGCTGTATAAATGTTAGCTATTCAAACTTGTCATCATTGTCTAGCCATGATGGTAATATACGAAGGCCTTATCACCCCTATTGTTACTTTGCTTCTGTTGCATTCTGACCTAGTGACTCAAGTTCCAAATTCCTTTTTGTGATGGTGCTAGTGTCATCTTTGTTAAATAGGTGAAGACTTCCTCAAATACAGTAATGTGTTCTTTGGTCAGCTGATTAATTGTCTGCTGTGCAGCTAGAGGAGAAAGAAGGGAAACAGGGTGTGCATCAGCACAGAGTTACTGTAACATCAATGGTGGATGTGATGACACTGTTTCATGTTTTATATTTAAATCTTCAGTACGGTTGGAATATTCTTGAGTGTAAAGTACAAAGCAGTAATCCACCTCCTTTTCAAGTGAATAGCCAAGTGTCCCAAGAGCATTTATTATATTACCCATTCTTTCTGCATGGATTTGAAATGTCTTCTGATCCAATAATGAATTCTTACATTTCTTTGCTAATTCTGATTCCAAATAATTCCACTTATTTTTTCCTTTTCTTCTCTGCCAGCACCATGCTGTCTTGATTACTACATTGTGGTTTTTTGTTTGTTTGTTTGTTTGTTTGTATTTTAATGTTTCAGTAACTGGTAGGCCCTTAGAATTATTTTCAACAGTTTCAATTTTTAAAAATTTCTTTGGAATTCTGATTGAAATTTTATCTCATTTATACATAAGTTTAGAAATATTTGATATTTTCCACATTCCTGAGTATAACCTTCTAGGAATGTGTCATGTCTCATACTCAAATATTTTATGTCTCTCAGTAAAGATTTATAGTTTTCTTCAAAGGACTAGAAAATAATAACACTTTTAAGTACTATAACCTATTACATGCCAGGCAGTATTTAAGTGTTTTACATATATTAACTCATTTAGTCCTCACATGAGGTAGTACTATTATTATATCCATTTTATGGGTGAGGAAACTAAGGTAGAGAGGTTAAATAACTTGCCAAAGGTGTTACCAGTGTTATCATACAAATGATAAGTGCTCAATAAATATCTGAAGACTGAAAGAACATAAAAAGTAAATAATACTGAATTTTAAAAAGAACATAAAATTACCTAGTCTAGGATCTTCTGCATACCTTGTTTTAGTTAATCTTACAACAGCGCTATAAAGTAGCTGACATTATCACCAAGGATGAGTGGACAGCCATTATTACTATCATTACTACTATCATTGCTATTATTACTACAATTGTTATTACATTTTTAATTTTTTAAGTTGAATAGATTTAACATGTAGCATTCTGTAAGTTTAGGATGTAGAGAGTGTTAAACTGGTTTAAATTTAAGGAGAATCCAAAGATAACAACTACATGATTTAGACACAATAGTTGCAATGACAGGATACATAAAACCAGAATGAATGAGTACTAGATAATGGAACTGCTAAAAAACAACTTTTTCTCTCTATCTCCGAGTTTAAGTCTGAGTTCTTTCCCTTAATGACTGTAAGATCTTAAGCAAATCCCCTTAAACTTTCTGATTTACTATTTTGTCACCATAAAGTAAATGATAATGCCAACTACTCCATGTCCATTTATTCCATTCAGTACTATAGCTTCTTTTGTACACAGTAAGTCCCCTACATATGAACCTTCAAGTTGCGAACTTTCAAAGATGCGAACGTGTCCCTGTATGCCAGCTATTGTACTGTATTACTGTATTTTTCAAGGTACTGTACTGTAAGATTAAAACTGTTTTTTTAGGTGTTTGTTTTTTATGTATTATTTGTGTGAAAAGTATTATAAACCTATTACAGTATAGTACCATATAGCCAACTGTGTTAGTTGGGTATCTAGGCTAACTTTGTTGGACTTAAAAACAAATTGGACTTAATGAACATGCTCTCAGAACAGAACTCGTTCGTATGTAGGGGACTTACTGTATTCTTTTAGTTATTTTTTTGTAATTTATATTCTAGTAGGAGAATATATACACATAACTAAGTAGGTAAATAAGATAGTTCAAGAGTGTGATAATTTCTATGAAGGAGATAAACAGGATCATATGATAGAGAAGGGACAAGATTAGGATGGCCTGAGAAAAATGTCTGAGGAGGTGGCATTTATCTATAACTCAAAAGATGAGAAGAAATCCACCATGTAAAGATTTGAGGGAGAAGAATACTAGGATGGAAGAATAGGTGCAAAGGCCCTCAAGTAATAAAGAGCTTGGCTCCTGAAGAGAGTCCACATTGGCCAGTAACATGGAGATCCAACTTATAACAGAGACAGAGGTAGAAAATATAATGCAAAACATTTAAATGTCATTGCATACTTCACCGCTTAAATGTTATGGCTTATATTACACTTTATGAACCATGAATTAAACTTCCTGGTTAGGAGATCACAGAGAAAATTAAAAGGGTCTTGTTTATACAACTAAAATCAGATATATATGTATGTATGTATGTATGTATGTATGTATGTATGTATGTGTGTGTGTGTGTATATATATATATATATATATATATATATCTACCTCCAGGTGTAAAGATGTTCAAAAGCATTCCAATACAGAAATGCAAGTTATACATTTTATCAAAGGATATCAAAAGGTGTTATAAACACATGGTTGAACATACACATAGTGAAATGCCTAAGCAACATGTAACAGAGGCTGTGGTGATCATCTCTAGACCCTGACTGCCAATAAACCCTTAACTACTTAACACTGCAATTGTAGACTTATGCCTTCTAGTTAATCTTGTACGGGACAAAACTTCCATATACCAAGTTAATGTGGCATGGCATCTAGAGAAGGTTGTCATGTGGACAGAACTTTGGGCTTCTCCATGGAGCCTTGTCTCCTCCATCTCCAATCACTGTACTCACGCTACAAGACATGCCACATGATTCCATTATCCCCATATGACCACTTGAGAATTATGATTCAATATGTTCTACAGTGAGTTCTCATACTGCCTCCATTTGCTTATTTCACTACTTAAAGGAAGTCCAAGGATGCTATTAGCAGAAATTCTACAACAAAAGTTCATTGGAAAAGATGAAACTAAATTAAAAGCTACTCAATCTGTGGCTTCCAATAAATAATTCCTCATTATCATTACTAACTTAAAAGTGATGAACTAATTTTGCTATGTGTATAAGCAAAGTGATTTAAAATACTACAAGCAGCTCATGCAGCTCAATATCAAAAAAACAAACAACCCAATCCAAAAATGGGCAGAAGACCTAAATAGACATTTCTCCAAAGAAGATACACAGATAGCCAACAAACACATGAAAGGACGCTCAACACCACTAATCATTAGAGAAATGCAAATCAAAACTACAGTGAGGAATCACGTCACACTGGTCAGAACGGTCATCATCAAAAAATCTACAAACAATAAATGCTGGAGAGGGTGTGGAGAAAAAGGAACCCTCCTGCACTACTGGTGGGAATGTAAATTGATAGAGCCACTATAGAGAACAGTATGGAGGTTCCTTAAAAAACTAAAAATAGAACTATCATGTGACCCAGCAATCCAACTACTGGGCATATGCCCTAAGAAAACCATAATTCAAAAAGAGTCACATACCACAATGTTCACTGCAGCTCTATTTACAATAGCCAGGACATGGAAGCAACCTAAGCGTCCATCGACAGATGAATGGATAAAGAAGATGTGGCACATATAAACAACAGAATATTACTCAGCCATAAAAAGAAACAAAATTGAGTTATTTGTAGTGAGGTGGACGGACCTAGAGTCTGTCATACAGAGTGAAGTCAGAAAAAGAAAAACAAATACTGCATGCTAACACATATATATACAATCTCAAAAAAAAATGTTTATGAAGAACCTAGGGACAGGACAGGAATAAAGACACAGATGTAGAGAATGGACTTGAGGACATGGGGAGGGAGAAGGGTAAGCTGGGACGAAGTGAGAGAGTGGCATGGACTTACATACACTACCAAATGTAAAACAGATAGCTAGTTGGAAGCAGCTGCATAACATAGGGAGATCAGCTTGGTGCTCTGTGACCACCTAGAGGGGTGGGAGAGGGAGGGGGGGAGAGGGAGGGTGGGAGGGAGACGAAAGAGGGAGGAGATATGGGGATTAGCTGATTCACTTTGTTATAAAGCAGAAACTAACACACCATTGTGAAGCAATTATACTCCAATAAAGATGTTAAAAAGAAAAAGTGATTTAAAATAAAATGTTACGTCAGTCTATCAGAGATGGACTAAACATGAGGTCTATAGTGGTTTAACAATCTTTGAAATACTGTCATCCTAATTTTCTCCACAATATAAAAGGACTAGCTCCCCAAATAAAATACAATTTTGAATTCCACAAACTAAAGAGCAGCAAGAGCCTACAGCTTGCACAAAGCCCAAGGAAACGGGCCAAGGGCAGCAAGGAGAATAGAAGGGCAAACATAAAAGAACACCAGGAAACAAAATGATCTGAAAATGTCAAAGCCACTAGAAAACAATGACACTATTAAAAAACAAGTGTTTGGGCTTCCCTGGTGGCTCAGTGGTTGAGAGTCTGCCTGCCGATGCAGGGGACACAGGTTCGTGCCCCGGTCCGGGAAGATCCCACATGCTGCGGAGCGGATGAGCCCGTGAGCCATGGCCGCTGAGCCTGCGCATCCGGAGCCTGTGCTCCGCAAGGGAGAGGCCCACGTACCGCAAAAAAAACCCAAAAAACAAACAAGTGTTTTAAACTTCCCTTTCTCCTCAGTGTCTTCAATGAATGCTCCTTCTATCTCTTCATCATATCTTAAACCTGGCTCTCCCCTATGATAGACTCTCTTCCTTTCAAGGCCCTGCAGAAGAGACCTCACTATTCTCTAACACTTCATATACCTCAATGAGAGCAAAGGCTTTTCCAACACACCACTCCTAGCACCTAATACCAATGAGTGAGTGAAAACACCTCTGACTGGGGAAGTGTAGAGCGGGCTGTTTGCTCCACTTGTAGTTCATCCTACTGTAAGAAGCTCTCCTCCTCTAAGATTGAAGCCATCTGCTTCCCTCTATCAACTTTCTAGTCATTCTCACACATTCCCTGAAAACCTTGACCCTTAAATGTCAGTTTCACTTGCCATTCCATAAGTTAGGTGATTTCAAAATCTGGGAGGCCTGACTGAGCCAACACCTTTGTCCCGTAATTCGTTATCTCGATCAAATTCAATGAACTTCACCTATATCCAATTTAAGCAACTAATTCCAGTAGCCACAGCCTGGATCAGTGGTGTGCATATCAAAATCCACTAGAGGGCTTCTTAAAACCCAGATGCCCCACCCCCAGAGTTTCTGGTTCAGAAGATCTAGAATAGGGTCCCAACACTTGCATTTGTAACAAGTTCTTAGGTGATGCTGCTGATCCTGACAACAACTTCAACAATGACAGGCCTGTGTCTTTCCATTACGCAGAAATGGTTTACATCCAAAGCATCCTAACTCTGATAGCCCTTCTCCAGCTCAATCTTTGACCCTTTTAGACTTCACTCCAAATATACCTGCTATTTGATCACAGCCCTACTCAAGATCTACTTGTTTTTGGTCAATATATCCTTTCATCCTGTGTATCTGCTATTTTCAATGCTGACCAATTTCCTTAAGGCCCCAATCCACCCTCTGCCATCCTTACTCTCCACAGATCACCTCAACTCTCAATTAACAGAGAAAACAGAGGTCAGGAGGCAGGAACTACTTTATTTCCTCTGACACACCTTCACACTTCTCCATTTCAGTAACCAACGTCACCTCCTTCATTCTAGCCTCAGAAAGATATTCCTTCTCCAGTCCAAGATAATGTTTCTAATTATTTTCTCAATCCCACACTCTACCATTGCCTCCAAATCTCCACTTCATCTAATAGCACTTGTCATGCCTATAATTTCAAACTCTCCCTCACTATTGGCAGAGCATATGTATTTTTTATTTTTTTAAATAAATTTATTTATTTATTTTTGGCTGCATTGGGTCTTCATTGCTGCGCGCGGGCTTTCTCTAGTTGTGGCGAGCAGGGGCTACTCTTCGTTGCGGTGCACGGGTTTCTCATTGTGGTGGCTTCTCTTGTTGCGGAGCACAGGCTCTAGGCGCGTGGGCTTCAGTAGTTGTGGCACACGGGCTCAGTAGTTGTGGCTCGCGGGCTCTAGAGAGCAGGCTCAGTAGTTGTGGCACACAGGCTTAGTTGCTCTGCGGCATGTGGGATCTTCCCGGACAAAGGATTGAACCTGTGTCCCCTGCACTGGCAGGTGGATTCTTAACCACTGTGTCACCAGGGAAGTCCCTGTATTTTTAATTTTAATAGATGCTGACAGACTGCTTTCCAAACAGGCTTTCCAAAAAGACTGTTACATCATGGCAGAACACTGGAAGTTTATTTTCAGAACAGGTTAAACCAGAGAGAGATTCTGGATCAGAAGTCTTAGCCCAGTTGAGAACAAAAGCACTATACTGAGAAGAAACACTGAAACTCCAACCTCCTCTCCCTTGTTCAGCTCTGAACATTAGCAGACAGGCTTCCATTCCTCAAATAGGATACTTGGAAGATTCCTTCCTGGAAAACTGAACAATCCAAGAAACAGATACTGAAAGCTGGAAATCCTCCAATGAAATGCTGGGTCCCTACCCAATCACCTTAAGGTGAGGACTACCTAAGGTAACCAACCACTCCGTTTTGCCCATCCTGTTATCATGGTTTTAGTACCGAAAGTCATGTGTCCTGGAACACCCCTCAGACTAGGATGGCTGGTCACCCTAGGCATACCTGTGGACAAGCCCCACCCCTGAATACAAGCTTCCAATAAATTTTTTACATCTTCCTCTTCAAAATGAAAGGGTAGGGCTTCCCTGGTGGCACAGTGGTTGAGAGTCTGCCTGCTGATGCAGGGGACACGGGTTCATGCCCTGGTCCGGGAGGATCCCACATGCCGCGGAGCAGCTGGGCCCGTGAGCCATGGCCGCTGAGCCTGTGCATCCGGAGCCTGTGCTCCGCAACGGGAGAGGTCACAACAGTGAGAGGCCCGCGTACCGCAAAAAAAAAAAAGAAAGGGTAGTCAAGGATTATCAACAGAAAAAGGAATGCAGCAAAAACTCTAACAATGCAGGAAGCCAAAAAAAAAAGATAAAGCACCCACAAAACACATGAAACAGAAGACTATAAAAAAGAAAGAACACAGAGCTCTGAGAATTGAAGTTAAGTTTCTGGCTTACAAAGGTCCACCAAAATCCAATGTATGAAAAACAGCCATACCAAGGTGCCTGACTATAAAATTTCAGAATCTTAGAACAAAGAAAAGATCTAAAATACTGTTTTGTTGGGGGAGGGGGGGAGCTTCACATACAAAAGATAAAAAATCAGAATAATATCAAGACTTCTCAAAAAACAGTCTGAACCCTGGAAAACAATGAACATGCCCTCCAAATTCTAAGGAAACCACGATCTCCAACCTAGAACTCTAAGACGTTTTCTGACATGCTAGAACTGTAAAAGATTATTTCCCATGCACCTCTTCTCAGAAAGCTCCTAGAAGGTATGCTCCACCAAAAACAAGGGAATAAACCCAGAAAAAAAATACAGGATCTAGGAAACAAGGAATCCAACCAGGAGAAAAGTGAAAGGAGTCCCCAGGATGGCCTGTGTAAGAAAGAGAGCAACCAGTCTAGACTGGAGCCGAAGAACACAGAGTTCTGGGAGGGACAGCCCCCCAAAAACAAACCAAAACAAAACAGAAACCCTATTACTCAAAAAATGAGAAGTATTTTTCACTTCTGGAGAATAATTTTAGGATAAATTACCAATTGAAACATAGAAAACTAAGCAAATAAAAGGGACAACCATTAATCCAGGGAAAACAAACAAAAATGTACAAGAAAAGAAATCACAGGCCTAGCTGTGTACATGAGATGATATAATATGATACATATTAACAGTTTCATTTTCAACCTTTTGGCTGATATATATATATATATATATATATATATATATACACACACATTTTTTTTCAAACTCATATTTTTAAAAAGTGCTTCGAATACCTACAATCAAGCATCTTCCCCTAACATTCTATTGATACTGATCCAGCATAAATCACAAATGACCCAGTTGACAAATCCCAGAATAAATAAATGTTCTACCATAATCTTATAATCATCTTGAAATGAGACAGTAAAAATTATTTAAAAAATTGTCAAAAATATTATTTGATAAAGTTCTAATTATTCTAAATATTGTTAAGAAATTTTAAAAAGCAGATTACAAAACTACTTATGGTATACATTGTGATTTTCAAAATATATATAATATATATACTATTAATGCATAGATGACAAACAAAACGTCCAGCCAGTAAAGTATCAAGGGTGGTTGTTATCAATGGTTTGAGTGATTCTATTTCCTTCTATAAGGATTTTTATATTTACCAAATTCTCTTAAAATCAGAAATAGTTACACGTATCTGTATACAGTCTTCTCATCCAGATTTTTAAACTTACCAGGAATAATGAAAATAAGCAGCTTAGGCCTGTTGGCAATTTGATTGCTAATGAGATCAGTCCAGGGCCCACATTTTAGAACCTGGGTTTCAATTCCACAACACAGAATGAATTCCTCGTGCACAGGAATTTCTTCCTTGATTTCTGAGTCCATTTCTAAATAAGGGGAGAAGGACAATATGAAGAGTCACTAAAATATAAAACTTTGAGCCAAAGACAATATTCGAGAATAAAAAAGACAAAATTCAATATGCCTAGAAGGAAATGTCACAAAGAGATATGAGAGATATATGACTACTCAGCTATTCTAGATTACGGGATTGAAAAAAAAATTAAACCACAAGAGAAGAGAGAAAGAGGGGCATGTCTTTGGTGAAATTAAAGACTACAGAGGAGTGTGAATCAAAACAAAAATCCCACCACTCTCCTCTCCAGTCTAAATTGACAATATCCATGGCTAACTTCCACTTTCGCTCTGCTGGAATTCTTGTATAGCTATATGCTCTACCAGTGAGAGAAGTCCCCCTACCTTCACCTGGTGAAGTCTGGTGAAAAAATAGAGAGGCTATGGCTGCCCTTGTACTCTCTCAGATAGAACTGTAAAGAGGGACAGTGAACTCCTTGATGAGCTCTGAGTTTTTTCTATTAATCCTCTCATCCCAAATTCTGTAAGTATATTTTTATACATTATTAAAGCATTATATTATTAAATTATGAAATGGATAGGTAGAAGAAAACAGAATATGAGATAACATCATGAGCAATTTTCTGAATAATCAATATATGTGCAAAAATGCAGTCCCAAATTATTTATATTACCCCTCCACCTCTGCCTTCCCTGTGTCTATCAATACGACCATGTTCCAAACTTTCATTGTTCTTTCTATCCTCCTCTTCAGCTATCCTCCTTTCATTCAGAGCCCTCTAGAGTCTAGATTATAAGTACCCTGAAAGCTTTTTCTCTTCTTACCACTTTATGCCAAGCTTGTACTCTGGTCTATCTTGTTCCTGCATTTCCTCAGTGTCTTCATGCTTTTCTGCTCCTATACCTTTGCTAATGGTTTTACTCTGCCACCACTTCTGGAATGCTTTCCCCCTTGCGCAACTTATCAATTTATTGCCTCCAAATTCATCCTTCATTGCCTTCTCTGGAAAAATGGATCTGGGTCTTTTAAATATTTTTCCTCTGCCAACTGATATGATGTTAACCTTGAAGAGTGTGCTGAAAGAGAGACACTGCAGGAAGAAGGATTTCTCCCCTGGTTTCAATGTACCCTCTCAGAAGATTTCTGGAGCACTTGTCCCCTCACCGCCGTGCTCAGGCTGTGAGGTCTCTCTAGAGCAGTGACTTGCAACCAGAGAAAATTTTGCTCCCAGAAGACATATGGCAATAAATAAAAATAGTTTTCAATGTCACAACTTGGTATCAGGGGAGGTGTTACTACCAGCATCTAGTGAGTAGAGGCCAGGGATGCTGCTAAGCATCCTACACTGCACAGGACAGCGCCCACAACAAAGAATCACTAGCCCAAAAGGTCAATAGTGCCAAGGTTGGAAAAATATCTGGAATGAAAAATTTTCACTTAAAAAGTGGAGACTCCAGGCCTTCCCTGGTGGCGCAGTGGTTGAGAATCTGCCTGCTAATGCAGGGGACACGGGTTCGAGCCCTGGTCTGGGAGGATCCCACATGCCGCGGAGCAACTAGGCCCGTGAGCCACAACTACTGAGCCTGCGCACCTGGAGCCTGTGCTCCGCAACAAGAGAGTCCGCGATAGTGAGAGGCCCGCACACCGCGATGAAGAGTGGCCCCCGCTTGCCGCAACTAGAGAAAGCCCTCGCACAGAAACGAAGACCCAACACAGCAAAAATAAATAAATTAATTAATAAACTCCTACCCGCAAACATCTTAAAGAAAAAAAAAAAGTGGGGACTCCTTTCAAAATTATATTAAAAATATACTGACTGACTAAATAAATAAAAGTATCATCTCACCTTTTCTTGTGGATTGATTTTTAGTTCACTTATAAACATCACTGTAGCCCAATCTTTGAAACTATCACAAAATACAGTATATTTATAAAGGTCTTATGACATTTGTAAAGTGTTAGAAACAATATTAGATTAACTGTTATACACAGTATAACAGTTTTTTCAACTGTTATACACAGTATAATTAGAGCACTGACAGAGAGAACACTGGCTAAATTTAAGATTTGCACCACAAGAGAATCCAAAGTTATTAACTGTATTCAACTCATAAATACTTAACTTCAAAGTAAATGACATCTTAGGAGTTTGATTAGCTACAAAGTTAATGAGAATGCAAGTAGATGTGAAATTTAAACAGTCTATGAAAATTAGAAAACAAAAAATAACAACTCTAAAACACTTCAAATAAAATACAACTGAGAAACACTGAGTTAATGTATGTATTTGTAAAGCATCTTTTTTATTTTACTTCACTCTTATGTTTCTGAATCTCACACAGTCAAATAAAAAAAGTAAAGAAAAATTTTACTTTCTTCCTTACCTAAGAACCCAAGGTAATTCAATGCTGCCAACAATGGGCAGGTTAAGACAGGACAATGTTTTCTAATATATATTATTAAAGGCTGATGGCCCCACCTTCAGCCGCCACCTACAAGCAATTTTAATGATCAGTTTTGATAAGCAGCCAGACTTAGCCTGGATAAAAACCATGTGTACAGTGTAGATATAATCTGTACAACTTAGGCAATCCTTACTCAGCTAAGAATAGGTGTTTATCTGCTTATATTAATGGGTTTCTAACTTTATTTAGTAAAAGAATTTTTTTCCAATTAAATCTTATAGAAACCTAGACAATACACAAAACTGAAAAGCAGCATTTGACCACTATAAATGAGTCCCTCACTCAGCTTTAGCATCCAAGTAATGTCTGCATTTTATTTTGGCCACTCAGAATTCTACTTTATCCATCATGTAAGAACTGCACATGATAAAAAAACTTTTTAAAGAACTCGTTGCAATGTCCAGGTAGTCTTCAATGAAACTACATTTGAAAAAGAGACAGTAAGATACTTTTCTTTCAAAGTTAAAGCACAAACAAAATCTAAAAATAACTTGTATTATTTATCATGTATATAAGGCAGATAAGAAGCTGCTGAAACTTCTTCAAATGACAAAAATTTTATATATATTATCAAATATAAGTTGTGACCTGTGTTATTGCCCCATAGTTACACAAAGCAGAGCATACACTCTGCATGTATCTGCACTTTGACTGGCAATTAATTAGTGGTATTCCTGGGCATAGTACTAAACCTACTTGTAAAGTATTTAGTGACTAGACAAGTGAGGATTAAATTTTTAAAGGCCCAGGGAAGAGATACAAAATTTGTAATTGTTATCAAAACACAATATAAGAAGTACAAATACATACAAAATTGGCAGTGGAAGCTTTATTCCAAGTTCGTTTTTTTTTTTTTAATTAGGCTGGTAGCAAACTTTGACATGCTGGTGATCTCTGTAGTATATTAAACGTTTGGTATATAATAGAAGTGAGTCTAGGAGTTGTTTTAAATTAGAGAGGCTTTTTGAGTTTAAAATGTACATTAGGGCTTCCCTGGTGGTGCAGTGGTTGAGAGTCCGCCTGCCAATGCAGGGGACACGGGTTCGTGCCCCAGTCCCGGAAGATCCCACATGCCGCGGAGCGGCTGGGCCCGTGAGCCATGGCCGCTGAGCCTGCACGTCCGGAGCCTGTGCTCTGCAACGGGAGAGGCCACAACAGTGAGAGGCCCGCGTACCGCAAAAAGAAAAAAAATGTACATTAAAATTAAGTTTGATCCTGAAGTGGGTAGGAAGGTGGGTGAAATAGGTGAAGGGGATGAAGAGGTACAAACCTCCAGTTATATAATAAATAAGTCACAGGGATGTAATATGCAGCATAAGAAATATAGTTAATAATATTGTAACAACATTGTATGGGGACATAAGTAAAAAGAGAAATAGACAAATCCACAAGCATAGTGAAAGATTCTAACACACCTCTTAGAATGATAGAATGAGCACAGAAAAAAAAATCAACAAAAATATATAAATTTTGATTGACATAATTAATATTTATGTTAACATAATCAACATAACTGACATATATAGAACTCTATACCAAATAAATGCAAAATGCATATCCTTTTCAAGTGTACATGGAACATTTACCAAAACTGACCATATACTTGGCCATACGGCAAGACTTAACAAATTTCGAAGAACTGAAATAATATAGAGGATGTCCTCTAACCACAGCGGAATTAAGCCAAAAATGAATAACAAAAATAATAAGAAAATCTCCCAATTTTTGGAAATTAAGCAATATACTTCTAAATAACTGATGAGGGAAAGAAGAAATCACAATGCAATTTAGAACAGAATAATGAAACAAATAATGAAAATATGATATATCAAAATGTATAGGATACAGACAAAGGCATGAATGCAAGAAAATTTAAAGTCTTAAAATACTTTCTAAAATATTTTCTAAAATAGTAGGAAAAAAAGGCTTGAAATCAAGGATCTAACTATCTATCTTAAGGAGTTAGAAAAACTAAATGAATCCAAATAAATAAAATAGAAAAAGTAAAATAACAAGAAATAGAAATTAATGGGATAGGAAAAGAAAGTTTACATTTGAAAAGATTAACAAAGCTAAAAGTTTGCTCTTTGAAAAGACCTATAAATAAATAAACAAATCCCTGAGAAGACACATCAAGAAAAAGGGCACAAATAACCAATATCAGAAGTGAAGAGAAGATATCACTCCAGATTTTATGGACATTAAAAAGATAATAAAAGAATATTATGAGGAACTTTATGCCAATAAATTTGATGTGGGCAAATTCTGAAACAAACACAAAAAGGCTAGAAACATCTTTATAGTCCTATATCCAGCAGACGTTGAATTCATAACTCCTAGTCCAGATGAGAGTCAACATTTAAGGAAGAAATAATACCAATCTTACAGAGTTGGCCAGAGAACAGAAAAAGAGGGCCCATTTATCAACTCATTTTATGAGGCCAGTAAACCTTGGTATAATACCTAACAAGGGCATTATGAGAAAGGAAACATATGGGACAACCTCTCTCAGAAACACAGATGCAAAAACTCTATTCAAAATA